GATTTATGTGSTCAATAATCTTCCTTCTGCCCTGTGGAGCAATCTTTGGACTGGCCAGCAGGCCTGGATTCAGGGCTGCTGCTAGCTGCTGCTGGAATGATGATTTTATACTGGAGGTCTTGAGTTTCTTTTTGGTTCTGTCATCATCAATATCAGCTTTTTTTGTTGTTGTTTCTTAACCCATTCAAGATAGTGGCTTGTCTCACCTGCAGTTGGCTATTAACCTCTCTTTGTGGGTACTGGAGAGAGTCTGGACAGCACCATTCCATTGATCTTAGAGTGCCAAAATCCTCTCTGCCTCTTACACTGTGAGCTGGAGCTCAAGTGTTTGTACAGCCAGAGTGGTTTGTGAAAGAGAGTTTCACTGTGAGTTCCCAGGAGAAAACAGAATGACAGTGTGAGAGCTTTTCCTCAGCTTTGTTTAAATATTAGATAAAAAACTACAATCTGTTTGGCTTCAAGGTAAGGAGAAGCAGCATTTATACACTTGTGCCCAAGAACATGACACAAAATACTTTGTTTTGTGGTCTGCAGAAAGAAAAATACCAAATGAACTCATCTGTGCTTGATTGTAACAGGCAAATTCTCAGTGTAATGCCATTTACAATTTAAGTGTCCTCTGTTTTCAAATACTAGTTTGACAGACAGCATATAAATCTTAAAGTTGGTAAATACTCAAGGGGGTGAAAATTTGTTGTTTCYACTTGTCTCATGGTTAATCATTTATAGCACCTAGCAAAGTCCTTTGAGTCTGGCACAAAAGCTATAATATTTCACAGAATTGGCATCACAGGTGGCTTGTCAGTGAGACAAGAAATTCAGCTTAAAAATGACAGGTTTATTTTGTGTTCCCTTAATAACTGTGTAACCTGCAGAAAGATTCAAATAGTTGAATTCAAATGGTTCTTAACATTCTTCWTGAGTACTGATACAGTAAGGAAATGCCATAAAATTTATGATAAAAAGGTGCATTACATTCTCTGAGTACTAAAGCTTTAATTTGTGAGCCACACAGRCACTGGGATGGGAGACTGGAGAGCAATGTAAGCAGATCCCAGTCCAGGCACAGCCTAAGGAAAAGCCCACAATAAAATAATGATTTTCAGTTTTTGGGGGGACCAGACAGAGTGTGCTGAACCTGAACCACATTCTTATAACTCACAGTGCACTGAACCAGGTGAAGTTCCAGTTTAATGTTGTCCAACAGGCCAGTGAGGGTGACACAGGTCAGCTTGAAGTGAAAGGAACAGGATGAACTGGGATAGGAAAACTGTGACATCAGGGCAGCAGAGAAGGGACAGAAGTTTGGAAATTGAGACAAAATTGATTGCTTAGAGAGCAGACAATGAGGAACCTTAATTCTGCAGTCTGGGAAAATTGTGACATCCCAGTGCAATGTGCAACAGCACAAATGCAACAGCTTTGATGTTCTTTTCACCTTGTCTCCTGTGTGCTGCTCTGACTTAAAATATTTTTGGAAGTTAAATCTTTGGTGTTCAGTTCCAGAAACCTTAATGACTGGCAACAGATATCCAGAAGTGGCCTTGAATGAGTAAATGTGCTTTGACATATTTCTTTGTTCTTTCARAAGAAATGAAACAATTAGTCCAAATGAAGCACTTCATCACTGAAACCCAGAGGAATTTCTTGGCTGCTGGCAAATCATGAATAATAACAGTGCAGAAACAGAGGAGTAGTCATGAGAGTAGATAATCTATGGGTKATGAATAAAAGCCGATTTCAAGGACTCCTGAGCGGGGTTAACTTCTGCTGAAATGCTCCGTTTGTGTTTCAAAGTGTTCAGTAAGCCAAAAGTGTTACAGTAGATTGTATGAGCTTCTGCAAAGCACTTCATGTACTCATTTCTATCATAAAAAGCTGATTATTCTCCAACTTCTTGTAAAATGTGGTCAGTGGAGATCTTTATTAGTAGAAAGCGTGTTCACTTGCAAGTGTAGCTTGAATTGTATTAGATAAGCTAACCTTTCTGCTTTTTTTTTTCTGTTCAAGCCTGTTTATTTTATTTTGCAGTCATTTTGCCCATCTGCCCCAGACTTGGGAAGTCCTTCATGTCAAAAGTAACCAAGCGGTCCCACGTTTAACTATAATTGATTGGCATTTTAGAGCAAAATTTTATTAACAAARTATTTTCTTTTTCAAGTAGGATCCCTGCCAATGAAGTTGATTTTCAAATGATAAGAGTTCTGGAATTCCTAAAGTTAAAAGAAATTATTTTTGTAATTACTATATGTATTTTTTCCTGTGTTTTCATGTTTCTCTTCTATTACCATCTAGTTAATTGTGAAGATTGAATTCCCCTAATGGGAAATGGGATGGAAATTATTACTGGATTTAAAAAAAAAGGGGAAAAGAAAGGGAGATCTGTAAATTCAAGTTCTTACAGTGTGAAAACAAAAAGATGAAGGACTGGGGAACGAGAAATGAGGAAAGAAAACCTGACTAAAGTGARTAACAAGTGAGAGTAGCAATGTGGAAATAAATAATGTGATTGCTTTCCAGGTGTTGTACCATTTTCTCTGTGCAAACCACAATACCAAATTGTCAGCATGGTTCTGATGTCTCTTTCACATTACAGGCCTATGGAAGAGAGATTCCAATTTGTATTTATATCTTAAGACTTAGAGATGTGCCTTTTCCTGGTAGATAAAGATTCAGTGATGCACTGTATTGTTTTTCTCAGCTGGAAGATGGGCCTCTTTACATTGGAAAACCTCTGGCTGTGGTGTTTGCATTTCAGAGCCTCTCCACCTGTTTTTGACAAGCCGGTGAAATGTATCAGTAAGTAACATGACTTTGATAACAGTAACATTTTATGTAGTCAGGAGTTACTGAGTAAGTGATTTTTCAGTGCAATTTGAACAAATCTATGACTAASAGTACCCAAGAATTAACAGACTATTAACACTCGTTAGCATTTCTCTGCTAACAGATGAAAATGCTTCCCATGCTGTTCTGTTCAGAAATAGATGTTTRATATTTTTGCAATAAAATGAAGAGGAGCTTTATGTTGATTGGGAGAACTGTGCTGTGTTAACCCAGCAGAAGTTCCTGTTCCCACTGGAACACGTTTTTGTGTCCAAGGATATCCTTCTCAGTATCAGCAAAGGAAATACGGTCGGAGAGTTTCATCCTCTGTTCTAAATACCTTTCAAAGAGTATTTTGGTTCTGATCCTCCAGAGATGGAACAACTTGGTTAATTCTGACCGTGACACATGAGCAGAGAAGTTTGAAGCCTGCCTGTCTGGCATGAAAGAAGTGCTGTAACAACACATGTCAGTGTTTCATTTCCATGGGGTCTGATCCAGGTCAGATTGGCATCTTCCCATTCATTAAAAAGAGGAGCCCAGCTCAGTTAGCTGAGTGCTCAGTTGGGATAATTGTCCCAAAATGAGGTTCAGAGGCTTTTGTTTCCCATAACATTCTCTAAGTTATGGGGTTTCAGTCCTGCCATGGTTTGGAGCATTTTTTTCTCCATCTCTGCTGTCCCTGTAGCACAAAATCTTTTGGCCAACGTTCCTCAGAAGGGGAGAGGAGAAAGGAACAGTTCAGATACCAAGAAGGTAAAGTACTTCAGTGTCCTGTATGGCACGTTCTTCTTCTGTCGTTACTCTCCTGGTTATAATAATGGCAGAGTTGTTGGGCTCTTCAGATAATGATCTGTTTAAAGCTCTTGCAAAGTGCCTGTTTTTATTACTATTAATTGCTTCCAGTGGGACTAAGCTTTAGTAAAGATAAGTCTTTACATCATCAGGGAATAACTAGGATTAAGTGCAAAGGAAAGAGAAGCAGAATGAAAATTGTTCTTCTTGTTCTTATTATTCTTAATCCTGTACTATCTAAGGAGAATTTTTTTGTTGCTTTTTTTTCTGTTTGCTATCGCGTTTACAAATGTGGGTGGACTATCATATGTCCAAGCTCTGAGTAAGAAGAAATAGGAAAACATTACTGTAAAGAATCAGGAAAACAGCATAGTTTTTTGTGAGAGCTCTCAGCAATTTTTCTTTTCCTGGAATCATGAAATCTTTCTGTAATTAAGTGAAAAGCTTGTGGTGTTCCCATACCCATCTCTGGAGTAATTCCTTGCATTAAATGTATGCAGAGGCACAGCTTAGCTTGGCCAATAACAAGAGACCATCCTTGGTTTATTTTTCCTTGGGGATTTCCACACTACACCGGCTTTTTGTTTGACCTTTACATTTTCTTCTGAGGACAAGGGCTTGAWGTCTGCAGGATAACCAGAAATACCCAACACAGCTCTGGAGAAAACCTGCCCTGCTTTTGAGCACCAGGAGTAGCAAACATCTGGGGGTCATTTGAAACTGTAGCTGCTCACTCACAGTAGAAGACATGAAAGAARCAGTGAATGTTTCTTTTCTGGGTTGGAATTGATCTTTATCACCACTTTCCCTAAACTGTGTTAATAACAACCTCAGGGACAGGAGAAGCACGTACGCTTTGGAAGGCAGCAGTGGTTGCCCAGGTCACAGAAGTAAAGGAGGAATTTGGATCTGAGTTTTACTTGTTCTCTATCCTGAAGCATGAACCTCTTTTGTTGGAAGTAATTTTGTATGAAGTTTGACTGCAGKTCCTGAGGATACATAAAAATAAATCAAGTTAACAAGAAAAAGAAAGAAAAAATCCCTCCTCTAAGGCCTCAAAAAATGATTTCTACACTATACCTAAAAGAACTGTAAWTTTTTTYTTCTTTTTTGCCAGGGCTTTCARTTTTTAATTTAAGGTATATGAGAAGGTAGTTCGTGCTTCCCATAACATTTGGTCTAATATTTTTTATACTCGTGGTTGAAATAGTGCCTTTACCATGGCCCAGGTTGTTTCAGGAGCTGTTCCATCTGCTACTCAGAATATTCCGCTCCCTTAAATAGAATGAAGYCTTTCTAGGTCTTTCAATGCAGAGCCACAACATTGAAGGGAAAAAACCCATGGGAATCTTTTAGGGGTGTAAATGAAAATTGATGTTCATGTTGTTAAATCATTACGAGAAAAGTGTGAGCTGCTGCTTTTGCTGTTGTAGTGGAATAATGCAARTACCAGTTAAAGTTTTACAAGTTCCTGTAGCTGGAGCATGAACTGACACATTGCTATCTCAATAATCTGGCACACCCCACAGGTCTCTGTGCACCTTGGGCATGTTGGCTTGGAAGAATTTTACTTTTCTAAACGTTGGGGAGGTAGTAAGGCACAGATATAAAAGGCAATGCAAGATGTTCATGATGCAGGAGATTTTCTAAACTTTTCTTGACTACTTTTATAGGAACTTTTTCAGCACCACTGTGACAAGGCAGATTTCCAAAGCAGCATGTTTGAGTCCTGTTGCTGTTGGACATTAATGGTTGAATCCCTGTGATGCTTGGAAAAGGTACACTTGTATGGATAACAAAGGAATTCATTTTCCTTGTTCACAGATTTTTTTTTTTGAGGAATAGAACTACAAAAGCATTGCTTTCCCTAAGACAGAAACAAGGCCCACATATCAGACTTCCTTCCTTCCTTCCAAATGGACCATTCCTTTGCTGCACCTGGAGAGAATGCCAGTTGATAAAAACTGGATTTCAGTGAAGTCAGAGGGGAGCATGAAATCATTGCAGGAACAGACCACACAGAAACCCCACAGCACCAATTAAGGAAAGGTTCTTACCTGTCACAGACTAATTGTCTGGGGCCTACTGTTGTACATCTCAGATGTCTCCCTGCTGCTCAGAGAATCCTGAGCAAAGTAAATGTAAAGAGGGTCCTTCTGCATCTGTGCTGAAGTGCAAAGTGTTTGCAGAGTTGGACACTCACTCCTCTTGGCTGGGTCACCAGTGGGTGAGGGTTCTCTTAAGTGCTCCATTATTTTGGAAGTCACTTTAATGACTGCACACTGTAAAAGTTAAAGCAATTCTATGTCATGCACGATGAGCAATGTGACTTCTGCATGCTCACATGTAATGTGTGTCAGATTTCAGCTGGAAAACAAAACAAACCCCTCAAGGTTGCAGTCTGCTCTTTAGAAAAGCCACATGTTGGAACTTCAGAACCTGCAAATATCAGCTGTTTTCTGTGCATGATGAGAGCAGTGGAATCTGTGCCATATTCTGTCCTTTATTTCCTGGAATCTGGCTGTAGTAATGATCAGATGTGTGCTCCTGCCAAGTGCAGTTGGTCTTTGATCCACATGCAGATCTGTGCTTTTTTTTTCCTCATGGCATATCTCATTCTGACATAATTTTTGTAGAGTGTAACATAGATATGTAAATAAAGAATGACCTTTTCTAAAATTCGTCTTTGTTTGTTCTTGTATTACCTTCAGGTAACATGAAACAGTCTATAGACACCAAATGAAGAAGCATTGTGCAAGATGTAGCCTTTTGTGAAGCACTGAAAATCAAAATCCTCTGCACACATGGAAGAAGCAGATTCACACCTCCCTAGGAAGATGAGCAGAAGTGATCAGTCACTGTTGCCAGGAACATTCTGCCTTTGTCAGAAGAGCTCTCAAGGAGCCCAGGTATTCTCATTTCATCCTTCAGCACACATTCCATGTTCCATATATATTTCCTATCCTATTTTATGTGTTCTTATCCACTGCTGCTGCCTCCTTTACTAGAGTGTGTTAATTTTTTAAATTATCAGACTGTAGATGTAAATTACCATAGYAAACTGAGCCTGAGCCATTCAGGAACTGCCTCCCTGTCTCTTCTGGCTCATCTTTTCCTTCCCAAGAGGCAGTGGCACATGGAGCAGGTGGGGCTGAAGGCAAAGACAGCAGCTGCCTCAGCTGTCAAACACTGCACTGGTTGTGTTCCTGAGTTTGTACCAGTTCAGTCAAGGAAAAGTTCCAAATAAGTATTATTAAGTGTTAAAAGAAGTGAGAAAGCCTGGTTAAACCACTCAGATGTCTTCAGCTGGATGTCTTGGAATTATTCTGTTGCTTTCTGTATTTCAAGGTGGCCAGCAGGGTAGTGGAAGAATTTCTCAGTGATCCTGGCATGAACCTCAGGGATCTGTGCCTCAGGGACAACTCTGTGTGAAGCATTTGTGTTCTTGGGCAGCTTGGAGGCATTTTCATACTACACTTATTTTACTGGAGATCTTCTAGCCACTGAAGTCACTCTAAAATAATCTGTAGAGAAGTCTCAAGCTTTGATTTCTGAAGTGTTTTCCTAAAATAAGAAAAAATCGGAGACAGTGGCAGTACAGGAACAAGCTCTGAGGATTTCTCCTAGGGCTGCATTTTCCATCCCATGTTTCTGGGCCCAGCTAATGCACATTTGTGTCCCACAAAAGCCCCCAGACTCACAGCAAAGCAGGGACTAAATGCATCAAAAGGCTTTTTGTGAAAATATTGACAATGCTATGAACTAACTTTGCGTTAACCTGCTCAAGAACAGAGAACAAGAATTCTGAATGCCAAAATATAGGGAGATGTGTGAAAGGGAAAACTTACACAAAAGTAGGCAGGCTGAATAAAACTCTTTATCTTTRAGCCACACAAGTCATGGTAATTAAATTAGGTCAGGCTGGCTATAAAGCTACAAAAAGCAGGCTGTAACTAATTTAGAAAGAGACAGAGAAGACCTGAAAACAGATTGACAGCCCCTTATTTTTTATCTAATCAAGACAACAAAAATTAAGAGAGAAAAAGGGAAAAGATAAAGAAATCTCATGTTGATTTATCAAGGTTTTCTCTCAAACCAATTAGGATAGACAAAAGCACGTAGTCACATCTTTGATGTGTGAAGGTTTGCACATTGTTCTTAGTGCTAATGGGGGTTTACATGCATACTTTACCCTTGAGAAAAACAGAATAATTGAATACCTTAAAGTTCAGAAATTGGTGGAAACCCCAACAAAGAATAACAAGATCAGACCTTTATCATTCCAGTATCATTTTACTGAATCTTTCTGAGCATCCATATCATCTGCTGCTATTGGAGAGAAATCCTAAGCATCAGTGAAGAGACAATYAGATGTTYATTTAAAACCATTTATTCATAAATYCCACCTGCCAGTTTGTATTAAACATCCTTTTTGAGAATGGTTTCAAATATTTTCTTTGAATTTGAATGTGACAGGTTGTACAGGGTGTGGGAAATACCATTTTGTAAAGTTAAGAAGGGAAAGATTAGGATTTTATTTGTAGTGTGGACCAAGTCTAATTAAACAAGGTTTAAAATAATATTTTGGTTGATTTCTATAATAGTTCTCGTTCCCCTAGTGATTAGAAAAATTAGYATTCTAGGGCTGTCTGAAGGGTGAAGAGGAGTGTGTGAACAAAAAGGGGGAAGGGCACAGACAAAAAGCCCAGCTTGCTTTGTGTTGGTGTTTAATACCAACAACCCTTTCCCATTCTGCTTCTCTTTTATGCMTCTTTTAGTTTTAGGGAACTTCTAAAGGTTTTCCAGCAGCAGATGAYGCTCAGCCACTACATTCATCTGAAATAAGATACGAACTTTGCCCTGGGAAGAAAATATTTGAAGTTTCAACACAATTAAGGGTTGCAAATTCTCTGTGAAAATGGAAATTCCCTCCTATTTCTACCAATAGGTCCCGAGGGTGAAGTTTTGACYCTGGTGCAGTGAATGGAACCTTCACTCTATTTCATTGAGACAAGAGCTGTCCCTCATCACAGCTTGCAGTTCCAGCAGTGAAATGTGGTGGGGAAAGGAGAAACTGTTTCCTTGGGCTGTTACCATTAAGTATCAACTTTTCCAGGCAATGAGCAAGGCTTGGAGAGATGATCAGAAAAGAGACACAAAGTCACCAACGGGGAGCAGCGACATTGCGCATTTCTCCTCTCCTGCAGGAAAATGTAGAGAGAACAGCGTTGGTCAGAGCGGGGCTGTCATTTTCAGAGCTGAATGGAGCCTGTAAGCAGGTTTGTTTCTGTTGGAGACAAAATGAAGCTCTTGCCCTTTGATTAGCAGAACATTCAAAGCTCATCAGCTGAAAGTCAGAATTGAACAAGAATTTGCAAAACTAATTAATAGAACCTCAGAGCATTGGCCCAGAATTTGACCCAAACACAAGCTCCCTTACTAACATCTTACTTACTAAGATCTTACTTTTTGTGTACTTAACGTTTGAGTGAACATGGTCCAGCTCAGATTATGTCTGAGAAGGACTGAAGAACCATGACCCGGTGCACAATCTGCTAAAAATCATAACATGAACCAGACTTTGAGAGAGAAACCACACAACCAAGACTGAGCTCCCAAGATTTCAGTGTTGCAGTTTATTGCTCACTGAGCTTTTCACATGCAGCCAGTGTGAACCAARGAACTGAATTAAACCTGCTGAGTTTTGACAGATTTGCTTTTATTTCATTTTTATTGTATAAAGGTAAAAGGAGACCTGCCAGCTGACTATAGATACAGGATCTGTGGGATTTGGACAATAATATCTAATGTTTTACAGTGTTTCTTTAAAAAGATCCCTCCTATTTAACTAGAAGCTGTAATTTCTATTTTTTTTTCTGTTTTAGGCTTAAGATAAATTGGAGGTGGCACAGAGCAGTGGAAGAGCAACAGCCTTTAGAAGCCCTCTCCAAAGTTAGAGTTTGAAATACTTTCCAARCATCTGCATGAGCAGCATTCCATCAACCTTCCAGCCCCCTTGTTGAAAAAAATGTGTCCTTTAATCTAAACCATGCTCCCTGGGATTTCCTAATGTAGATAATTCTTCATTTTCTTTTTATATTTTGCCAGTGAGAAACTGAGAGGTCCTTACCTCTGAGTCCTTTTCACAAACTGTTTCTTTTAGTCCTGGCACGATGCTGTACGTTTTCATTGCACGGGAATCTCCTCAAACAAAGGAAAAATATGAGACTGTCAGATCAGATTTCATATATTGTTCTTGGCATTGCACACACTAGACCTGSTACACAGTGAATTTTGAAAGCCTCTGATCTTTTATAACCATTTCCAGTCTTAAACATACATTTAAAAGTTCCTCCTCTGCAGTCACGGGGACAATGACTTTGAAAGCTGAGGTAATTTGGATGTTTTCTTTCTGTAAAGACATAGGGAGTGATCCATTACACCCATAAATCATCTCCAATGTTTCATTATTATTTCTGCAATATTTCATATTGTTTTATTAAGACTCTGAATTTATTTCTTTCACTTTTGTTGGTTTTTTTTTCCTCTTTCCTGCTAGCGATATATAATGCTTTAGAACTTTAAATCAAGGTGCTTAGCTGTGCCTGTGGGAAGGAACGCTGACAGCAGGTTCAGAGTGGTGAGCTCTGCTCTGTAAAACAGACACACCAAGGACACCAAATCCTCTCTGTGTGGAACCCAATGACCATGCATGAGCACCTCAGTTATTAACCAGCCTGAGAAGTGTGATTTGTCTTTGYTGTATTCCTTCTTAATGCAGGGAAATCAACCCAGCTGAAGAGATGCTGACCTGCTGAGGCTTAACTAGAAGATCCCTTGACACAAATTCCTGTAAGTGTATTTATACAGGGTTATTTATAACCCTTGGCCAATTCCAAGGGCCTGAGGATTCCTAGAGCTGAAAGCGTGAGCYCTGACAACTACAGTCTAAATTAAGTGAAAATGCTGAATTTAGCAGAGAACACAGACAGAAATTCCGTGTCACTTGTGGGATTGTAACTTGGCAATTGGTTCAGAGATCAGTCACACACAGCTTCTTTGGGAAAGAGGAATAAGTTTTCTGGAACAACTGGCAGAGGTGACAGGTTATTCAGATGTGTTTTCTGACTRCCAACAAAACAAAAAGCATATTATCTTTTAATGCTTGTGTTATAAACAACTTGCATCCACTTCTGAATCCCCTCCCGCCTTCCTTCACTCATGTGAACACTTTAAACAGGGAGGCCAGTCTCTGAAATCATGTTTGTCCTTTTCTTATCTGTACTATTCACAGCCAGGTCAGAGTAGAATATCCGTGTAACTTTGTTACAAATACAGGGGACTCTTTGATTGCTGCTGCCACTGCTTCCTAACCCATTCCTTAGTAACCTTTTCCTCCTGACTCGGAGATCAGTAACTTGCTTAGAAGGATTATTTCTATCCTTTCTGTTTTTCAATTCCTTTCAGTTTTTCTTGGCCAAGCTTTCCAGAACTCAGGTGCAAGTCCTTCCTGGTCTCCATACCAAGTGTTGGTGTTTTACCCCAGCATTTCTTTTGACTGATCCTGTTAGCAGCTCACAGCCTGGTATTTTCCAGTTTCAGATAGTATATTCTGCTGCCATATTGTATTTCAATGTAGCTACTTTCACTGATGTTTGGAACTTCGTGAGTAGAGTTTCCTTCACCTTTTGTCTTCATCATGATGAGCTYTCCTACCTCTCTTCACTGGTTTATTTTCCATCAGATGGCTGTTTCTTCCCTCCATACTGAAACATTGTTCTACATCAGCAAGAACAAGGCAATGTCAAGTCTTGAAGGTTCAAGAGCTCCTCCAGCTCAATACCAAAGTCATGGCTGGGTTGAGTAGGGACATTAAATATTGGGAATAAATCCTCATGGGYTCTCTTGAGAGGAGACTCTGCTAGTCTCTTATTTTAGAGAAATTCCAAATTTAGCTCAGCTCTTTTTCCTCCACTGAAAAGACATGTGTAATGTTTCCAAGAAAAAGACATTAAAACATTTCTCATTAATAAGGTTTATTGGGATAATAATGCCTATGCTGCTCTTAACAACAGGCAAGGAGAGGCCATTGCCTGGAGAAACTCTGCAACTCATTAGCACTGGTTTTATCTTTCCTTCAAAGAAGGAAGAACAAAAATCTGACTGATACGCCATCCAATGCTCTCTGAAAAGAAACAACTCTGCAGCCAGACCATTCCTTCCCTCACAACAAACCCAGACAARGAGAACTCATGCATTAACTTTTTTTGATTTTCAAAGAAAAAAGCCTACAATTTAACTAAGAAATGTTTTAGATTTAGAAAATGGGATGTTTTTTGCTTTTGGAGACAAAACATCAGAGCACCAAAGAAAGGACAGTGCACAGAAATCCGACAAGTTTATCAGTGAGTGTAATGTGGAGGAAAGCAGTCATTAGTGAAGTGTTTTAGGGGAGGATTCAGGTGTTTAACACATCCCTAAGCTTTGCTCTGAGTGGTGGGGCAGCAAATCTGTGAGGTTTGCTCAGAGTGGTTCACCTGGTGAGCAGGCCCATCAGGGAAGCTGCTGCACAGCACCAGGTTCAGGATGGAGATCACTGCACCCCTTACCCTTATCCTCAGGTCAGGCCCTCCTCCATCCATTAGCTGTCTTTGCTTTCCTCCCACTTTCAGAAGCCCCTGAGATGATCTGCAAATAAAAGGGCCTCTTGTGCTTCAAATCCCTCAGTGTGGCTGGAGCTGTGATCTCCTGAAGTTCAGCAAAGCAGGGCAGCCCAAGAGCACTGTGGTCTCGCTGTGGGATGGCCTAAGCAGCCCTGGACCCGAGACACCCCCTCCTGCATTATTGGGACATTGTCATGGTATGGGCTGGTAAAGGCATCACTTCAGCTCCCAGAGACAAGTAGGATTCTCACAAATAACAGGTGAACTTAATTCTATTCCATTTTTTAAACGTTTTGTTAAAGTGCTTTACCATTTTGGGAAAAGAAGAAGGGGAAGAGTTACCCAAAGGAAAAGCTGAACAAGGCCCAGGGGAACACATAGCCAGCACATGTTGCACTTGAGCTATTTTCAGCTGGASTGTGCAGATTCCAGTCTCCTGAGGGTGTCTTACTTTGGGATCCTCATGTAGAATTCTCTTCAGTGGAGAGGGAACTTTTKTAAAGTTACTTTTGTTTGAGTAAAATACTGCTGTGCTTTGCTTTGATAGTTTAAGACATTTTATCACTAGAGGTGGTCTTTAATATGCTTCTTAAGCCGTAACTCCTGGGACCACCTCATTCCTTAGAGCTCTTCCTCTGGSCAGGAATGTTGCAGCTCAGCACAGCTCAGCACTATATGCTCCATTAAAGGAGCTTATGTAGCATCCTACAGGCCTRGGGGTCCAGTGGGAGCCTTTGGCACACACAAAAATACTTTGGAAAACTGTGAGAATGCTGATGACCTGACAATGATTTGTATTACTGCATTAGAAAAATAAATAGTATGGCAGAACCTGTCAGGATGGATAAAACAAAGATTTGCCAGTGACTGTGCTGTGCAGCTTTCCAAAGCACTAACGTGCTGCTTAGCCCAGGCCTCTGTTTCATCCAAACCCTCATAAAAATTTATTGCAGATRGATACTAAGAACCTTCAGGAAAATCCTTTGCTGTTTCAACACATCTCTGCCTTATGATGTCTGCCTTTTTTCCCCTCCCCCAGCAGAAAAGGTTTTCTCCAGCCCAACAAATGACAAAGAATTTATTGGTTTATCAAGGATATCCGTGTCCCTGCTCAACACAAAGCCAGTGTGGGCTCAGAGGGACAGACACCCTGCYCTTCTCATGGTGGCAGCTTAGACAATCTCAAAGCCCCCTGTCCCTTTGGCCCTGGCACAAATACTGCCTGTGCCAACACTTACAGAWGGCCACTGTAAACCCCACTGACCTCAAAGGCCTGCCCAGGTTCAGGATGGGCTCCTGAGCACTTCATTTGCAGAACCAAGCTCTTGCCTAGCCACATGTCTGTCATCATCTGTCATCACAGAGCTAGGAGGTCAAGCTTGATAGTGTAATTTAGTCTGGGATAACTTGGAAAACTAGGCTTTTTAAAYATGGAAAAATCATGACAAGCATGTACAAGCATTTTGAGTGATTGGCACTCTGTAATGAATAGCATGAGAAGAAATTTTCTCATTAAAAAATACTGAAAAGTATAAAATCTCCTTGTTTAATAGCAAGCAATAGGACAAGTGCAAGAGTTAGCCAACTATCTGATTCAGTTACACATGTCCTGAATCCAGACTGAATGTGTAGAGATGTAGTATGATTTTAATAATATAACTATTTTCATTCATTTCAAGAGATTACAGATAGAGACTCTCTTATAAGAGAACACTTTTTGCTGTGTTATAATCTCAGTTTCACATTGCCTCTGAAGAGTGTTCTGTGCCTTCCTGGCAGCAGTAGGTYAAAGCTCCAGATAACATGTCAGACTGACTGCACATTCAGGACTGGCCCCCTTCACAGTTGTTAAAGCTTTACAGAGCCTCAAAACAAATCCAGATGGACAGGAACTGTGACTGCCACTTGTGAAACAGTATAATCCAGCACAATACACCAAGCAGGSTAAGTGGGAAGGAAAACAAGTTCTGAATAGAGGACCTCCTTGGAATATTGGATCAGCCATCAGACACACCAGTTCTGTTTAGACAGGCCTGTTACACACACCCAAATGTTGTGCAAAACAAAGCACACCCCATCCTTTCACCACTGCAGCTCCAAAACACCTCTGCCCGAGGGTGGCCTTCACCCTGCCTGAGGCACTGTTTGTGTCTACATCTTTATTCACAAACTGAAGCATTGCTTTCCACCGTTTTTGGCAAAGCTGAGACACACGAGCCATGTTCTTCCTCTCAAAGYAATGTCATATCTTGGCAGTATTACTTTGGTTTAACTTTTTCAAATATGAAAAGTATTAACAAACAGATCACTTTTCACTGTGCTGCCACCAGTGGATTTCCCCACACAAGGCTGCTTGTGTGACACAGGGATTAYCATAAATAACATCACCATTGCAGAGAACCTGGTCAAGAGAAAGCTTGTTATTTGAAATTGTTCACTTGGGGGATAATGCCTGCTGAACACAATGTAATGCAATACATAGTGACTTTTTTACTTTTGTGCTGTACTTTTTTTTCTTGTGTACAGTATGCATGCATCACAACAGGGTGATTAGGTGATGAAGCCGTAATAGAAGAAAAAAACAAACCCTGAATCTSTGGCTTCATTCCTCACTCCCACTGGGATGGGTGCCTAATTTAACTGAAGTTAATTCCAGTGCTGACTCCTCCTTACTCCTGTTGGCACAGACAGATTCCAGTTCAGTGGGCATTCTCAATCACTTCCTTACTTATCACATTTCACAAATTTCCAAACAGTTAAAAAAATGGTTTGGGAAATTGTGATTTTAAATCCTGATATTTCCTCGCCTTTCCTGCCTTCCTCCCTTTCCTTTCAGTTCCCAGTAGTCACATTCTTTGCTAAAACATTGGTGCAACTGCTCAGTTACACACCTGCTGCTCACAGTATGTTTGGAAAATGCATCGTGTCTCCCACCACATGCCATTAGTGATGTGTTTTAGTTTGCTGATTTGCAGAAAACATTGTTTGCCATCTGTCTCAAGACACCCTGCTCCTCTTTTTCAAGCAATTGGCTGGGGGAGCTATGATTATTTAAATTGTCTTTTGGTCTTTTTGCATCATGATTAGAGATTGGCATGTGAATTMTTTAATTAAGCTGTGAATATCTGCATATTGCTCAGTTACACAAATACTGTGTCATTCAGCTATTTATTACTAACAAATTTAATTACCACTAAAAAAAGCTTAATTGAAAGCTCAATAATCTTGGAGTCCTTTGACCAGCTCTAGCATATCCATAGAACACCATTCTGTTGAATAAGGAAGCCACTGTTGAGGCTTTTGTCATAGCAAAAAAAAAAGGAAAAAGAAGTTCTGATATTTTTGTTTCTCTTCACGTCACAAAACTGCAGCCTGAGGCATTTTGGCTGGACTCCGTTCTGTGCCCGAGGTGCCCAAGCCACTCACTTTTGGTCACATGGAAATGTGCTGAACAAATCCACATCATAAACAAAAGCACACTGGGGCTTCCGYGGGCAAAGCACAAGAACAGAATATTAACCACAGGTCCTGCCTGGATGAAAATGGCTTTTGCTCGGTCATGGCACATAAYGAGGTTTCATGCCTCTCTTTTTGGCATGTGTGGTGCCACAGACCCCCAGAACCTTATTTTATTCAGATATCTGCTTCTTAATGAGCTGATCTTCAGAGGAGCAGCTCTTTACTGATCCATTGCTCCCTTACACCTTCAGGACATGATTTTCTCTCACAATGCTCCAGGAAACTCCCTGCATCTCAAAACATGAGCAGTGGCAAGAACACTCATGCACTCAATCATGGGATTCCCTCACTGTGCTGCAGAAACTATTAAAAAATGGAATCACTCCCTCAAATGGCTTCAGCAGTGATGAGGGACTCAGGTACCTGAGGAAAAACACTGTATCATTAAACAATACTGTTTCAAACATCACTACATCCAAAAAGTGATAAAAGAGATTTAAATGCCTCTTTTTCACGCTTTGGGCTGTATTTACCTCACACTTCTGCATTTTTCGGGTTTGCACTTTTGGCATGGGAGGAGCTCACCATGTATGAGCTAAATGGTCAAATGCATTTCCTTCACCCATTCCTTCTGTCCCAGCTCTTGCAGTTGTGAAAATGTTCCAACACTYCCTTAGTGAATTATGGCTGTATGTGGCAGACTGGGAAAGGAGAGAAAGAAGAGACTTCATGACTTGGCTCCTCCCTGTAGATTGTGTCTTAATTTTTCAAGTCTTGCTTTAAATCTTATCCAGAAATGCCCCATTTAAGATCAGCTACATCCTAAATTTACCATGTTTCCAAAATAACTCAAAGATGGCTTTGTTAGACATCAACAATTAAGTGATCAATTTTAAAATACTTTTTTTTCCTTGACATTTTTTTCAGTAAATTTGCTTCTTGAATCAAAAAGTAACAGAGATGAAGAACAGTTGGAAGTATTGAGCTAACCAATATGGCCCACATAATGAAGAGACCCTTCTATTTGTAACACCATTAAAAGGTAACATAAAAGCTTTGTTTGACACAGAATATAGGCACAGACCAGTGAAAATAACAGAGTTGAATATGCAAATAACTGTTCTCTGACAAGATTCTGAATTAGTAAATTGTGAATCTAAAGTCATAATTSGTGTCAGTTTTCCAGATGAAGGATAAGGATTTAGGATTATGGAAATGATGGGTTAGTTTTTTTCTCTGTCATCAGACTACAAAAATAAAAGAAGGACAGAGGAGAGGATTTTGGGGACCACAGCTACTCAGAAACCTTCCTGTCCTCTGTCTTTCCCAGCCTTTTCGTTTCCTTTCAGGCCCATTTGGACAATCATCAGTCAYTCTCCCTTTAGTCTATTTTGGTGATGTTCTGTGGGTTTCCAGCTTATTTTTGCATAACCTGAGAAGTCTGTATTTGCATCACAGGCCAACCAAACTGTTGAATTATTTCCCGGGAGCTTTGCTCTGTTCCCTGGGGGGCAGCACTGCATTGCCCCAGTGCAGGGCTGGTCAGCACTGCCCCCAGAGCTGGCTGATCTGCAGGAACTGGAACCCAGCTGAGCCCACTGCACACAGCTACAGTGGGGTTTACACAACTGCAGGGCAGATGGCAGCTATCTAAGGTGCTTACACTGAAATAACTTGCTGCTTTTTCTTTTTT